ATATATATTTATTTATTTATTTATATTTATATTTATATATATATATATTCTTTTCATACACACATCACAGAAGATGAGCAGTGCAATGTAGTCATTTTAAGTGCAAGTAGTGTCATGGGATGCAGAAGCTAAGTATATATGTTGCTTCATTAATACACTTCTACATTTTCATATCTCAACTGATACTAAAAAGAATCTATATATACACACCTCTCTGCCACCATGTTCACGCTTCCTCCCAGATTTAGTTTTAGCACTCTCCTCCAAGATGCCTTGATCTTTAGGTGATTTTGCAGCAGACCTTAAGGATGAAACTGTTTCCTGAATAAGATGCCAGAGAAATAAGAATTTGATCATTCCTTATTAGACAACATGAGTGCAGATATTGATGCTAAATATTCTAATGTAAGAATGTTGGGGAAACAGTATCTGCCAAAAAAACAAAAGATCGATCATTTCACAACACAAAAACAAATTGTCTAGCAAGCCTAGGACAACAAACGAAATACAGCAAAGAAAAAAAAAAGAAACCAGATACCACATATATTCATAAACAGTGATCAAAGAGAGGTAATAGAATGTCTGATAAGCATCTATAATTGCCATTGCTCCCCATAATTAGATGTCAGTTATTGCCAAAGTTGCTTCTTTTTTATGTAAGTTTAAACCGAAACCAAAAGAGCAAAATGTTCTATTTGTGAACTAGATCAGGAAATTCATTCCTGCCTGACAGAATTTAACAAACTTATATTTGTCAAATCATTCACAAAACCTTGTCAAATCAACTTGTGTTCTAGAGTCATCCTAAAGGTAATGAAATCTTTGGACAAAGAATCATCAGTAGCATAATATCATGCAACTACCGGAGAGTCATACCAATCATCATTGAAGCTATCCAAAAAGAAAAGTATCAAAGGAGATATCAAACCCTTAAAAGTAAATTTTAAATGTACTAACACTGTATAGTGTATACTATATTTGACCTAAGAAGAAATAAGAATAGCAATCAGAGCAAAAACAGTATGATTGTCATATGACAATTATGACAGTTTCAGCACTAGTCTTCTTAAACTTGAATAAAACTAATTTATGTGGAATAATTGAACATTAAGAATATTAGCAATAGCAAGTTTGGATGCACCATAGGAATGTTGAAGCTGTTATCAATGGAGGCTACTTCATTTAACAGGACCAGTGGAAGGACCGGAAAAAGCAGATACACCTTGAGGTCATTGATGATAGAAACTAAGACTTCATAAATCAGATATTTTTATTTTACTCACAAGCATGGTTCAAAATCACAATACTGGACCCGAATTGGTCCATGGACGGATTCATATGGGTCCAGTACATCCTGTTGTATTGACATGTGATATGCCAATATAATGGTTGGTACAAACCAAAGAGACCTGCTGTTGACAGCCTAAACAGTTATAAACAGCGAGCTGGAAATATTTACAAAATTAAAAAAACAGTTTTGGACCCAACTGGGAGAAATCACCCAGTCCAAGTGCTGGGTTCTGGTCAAATTGGTAAACATTGCTTGGTACATAACGATCCAACCGTTTTTTAACTATGCTAACAAGTACAGTTACACCCTAGACTTCCTCAACTTATCAGCATTGAATAGATCATACAAGGTAAAGATTGCTCAACATCCATGCACACAAGCTAATTAAAGCATGTGAAACAAGATAAAGTTGCATAATGTTGGCAAATTTTATATGATAAACACCATTCAATGCATTTATTAAACGAAAAAGAAAAGCCTTGATAACAGTCTAGTGCCAAAATCTGATTTCCACAGTTTTTTGAAATATCAAAGCCAAGGTCCGCCATACCGTACCATACCAGAATTTCGACCCGGGCTCGGTATGGTACGGTACCGGTGTACCGGGCGGTACATCAGGGCGTACCGAGCGATTTTATATTATTTTATACTGTAGCAGTGCTACAGTATAATACTGTAGCGCTATAGCAGTCCGCATACCGAGAACCTATCGGACCGGTACATACCGCCCGGTACGAGCGGTACACTTCGGTACGGCAGACCATGATTCAAAGCTATAAATATTGGTGGGAAAAACTTAGAGAATATCTTTTCAGTTATCCAATAAACAAAAGTTTTTACAGTCACCACAACTGCTTTCTAAAGATATCAAAAGTACCAATTTCTTAAAATTTTAAACATAATATCAGTGTTTTATAGAACAAGATGATAAGATATTACGAGGCTTTCAAGCACAAACACTTGGCGAAGTGATTAGACTAATACAAGAAAAGCATTAACATTACCCAAAAAAGGGAATATAAACATCTATAATCAAAGACAGATTAAAAGGGTACAAATCGCCGCAACAAAATTTACTAATTAGATGAGAGTGTAGAATAAGAAAAGCAGAAACAGGTCAAAAATAATAATTTTTCTTTCAAAAATAAGTGTAGGTACATTTCCAAGATGAATCCAAAGATGTTTGAGGCTAAGGCAACAAATATACAAGGATCTGTTACTTGTTAATATGGTCAACATGAGAAGCCTATATGAATAATAGACGATACAATATAATAAAGTTACCTTCAAAATTGGTTCTCCAGCTTTATCTTTTTTGGCTTTGAGGTTGTCCTGCTGTTTATTTTTTAATGTTCCCGATTTTTGAGATGAATCTCCACGTTCAGTCTTACTTGTTGAACTTTTTCTATTTTGCTGCCTTCGGGATTTTTCCTCTGAGTCTCCTGTACCAATTGGTGATTCTTCAATGTCTTCAGGACCAGTGATACCATCAGATTCCTTCTGTAAGTTAGAATCTTTGGAAGATATAGCTTTTTCCCCCATCTCAGATACCTTCTGTTGCAAAGGGGAAGCAGATGGTGCAGCTACTGCACTGTCATCATGCCTTGTTGCAGCTAGTTTTGTACTAGGTCTGCCTCGTTTACGCCGAGTTGCAACAGGGATCTCTGCTTCGGCTGGCAATGCATCTTTAACAGCTCCACTATCTGCTCCAGATAGAGACACCAAGTCATGTTTACCAGGTACTTCTTTTCCAATCGAGTCAGAACAATGATCACCGCTATTTCTCAAATCAGACAAGGTAGTTTGCTTGCCCCTAGTTTTCTTGGGTTTAACATCTGAGATGGCATCTGGCTTTCCAGCCACAGGCTCCAAGTTAACCGACATATCCCTGTTGGATGCATTCGCCCTTTTGGATTGATCACCAGGACAAGAAGGTTCAGGCTCCTGCTTTGGAGAAGAAGGTTCTGTTGTTGATCCGCCATTACCCATCCGGACAGTACCATTGCTCATCACTGATTTTGGTGATTTCTCAGTAGAAGTTACTTCTTCAGGGCAATTAACTTCCTGTTCCATTTTATCAGAGCCCTAAAATAAAAAAATTTAAAAAAAGTTGTAAAAATTAAATGAAATTACATTGATGAAGTGTAATAAGTGATAAACATCTATACAAAAGTGCACCTGAACCAATTCATCAGACACAGTTCTTTCAGACTGTTTGCTGTCATCTACCTGAAATAATAAAAATATCAATAATCAAAAAGCGAAGAAATGATAAAATAATTTGAATCCAACTTTCAGTTCTACTAAAATTTAGAGAGTAAGAAAAATATTATATTCAATAGCAGTAGCCATGATTTGATTCCCTCTGATCAACAACGTACTCACTGTCAGATAACAAATAGCTGAGTGAACAAACTAATGATGTAGAAATCAAGAGAACATACATAACAAAGATTCCCATAGGCAGACTTCTAAATACACAGCATCTACAACATGATGAGGTCAGAGGATTTGGATAAGACATATATCAAAGCTCTTAATAGATAAATTTTGAAACCACAGGCTTCCAAAAAACATATGTGAAGCATCGACATAATGATTAAGGCCAAAGGAAAATAACATCAGAAGAGATAAGTGCATTATGTGCTAGTACCCAAAATACTGGAAAATATATTCTCACGAAATGAATAGACAACAAAATTGACTGTTTAATCTGAACAAAAAAATTCTAGAAACATAGTCTATGAGTGCAAACTATTCTTATTCCCTAGTATGACATAGAACTATATAAGTATGTGCATGCACAGATTGGCTTAGAGTACCAGCAAGATAATCATTTAGTATCATGCAGCTTAAAATTATGTGGACAACGATAATAGGGTGCAGGTGCTCAAGATAATAAAAAAGCAGCAGTTTTTTGGTCTATATTGCATGTTCAACTTTTGGCACCGCAGAATGCCAAAATGGATTTTATGATTAATGACATATAGAGAGAGTTGCCAGAAGCACTTACGTCATTTTGCTCAACGCTATCCAAACATTCTTGGCATATAGAGGCTACAACTTCGCCATATGTGTTTAAAGGCATGCCGGTGGATTCAGATAATTCCACAAGATAAGGTTTTAATTTCCCAGCACACTTACTGATAACTTTCTCCCCTAGTCTGCGTGCAACTGGCAACATATCCTGAGGACAAGCATAAGGTAGATAAGAAAAATAGTTCCTGGGACCAGTAAAAATTAGGAGATAGATATTTACTTTGTTATAACTCTTTACACTATCCAGAAGGCATAAAATTAATTCAGGCGATATATCTTCACTCTCCTCTAATACAAGTGTCATAATGGTTTCCATTGAAGAAAATATCTTTTCCGAATGATTTGGCCTGTAAATATATACAAATCAGTTTCTAAGTGTTATCTTGGAATAATAACGGTAAAAAAAACTAGAAGTATAACATAAGCAAAAAATCTTTGATCATTTACAAGGATTCAAACAAAATATAAACAGTAATATCGTAAGGAAGTTTCTTTGCATGTGACGGAACGATGAACAAGTGAAAGCGATGGTCTATCCATTAATTAAAACATAAAACTAACTAAAAGTTGCAACTAATTAAGGAAAAATGAGTTGGAAGCAACTTTAAATTAATATACCAGCCTAAAAGTCACAAAATTTCACAGCAAAGGTAATTCAAGAAGCGGATTCAATAAAATCACCAAATTTCACTCAATATACAGGCAAAAGGCCATTCAAAGATTTTAAATTTATAATGTTCATTATGGAAAAATAAGATCAATATTTGCTAAAAACAGAATATTTAATGTTTGCAAAAGTCTATAACACTGCAAAGAACGTTTCAGCCAATGGAGATAAGATTTGAAGACCCAACATAAATCATGATTCAGAGTTCAGTCAATAACACCTATGCATAGGTAAGTTCAGTCATTCATGACAGGGTCTTTTCCTGTAATCACTCGTGCACCAAATAACAGAGCTGCACTTTGCGCCAAAAGATGATTCGCAGAAGGGATTTTTTTCATGAAAATCTCATTTCTATATCAATCAAAGTTAGAAGCCCAAGTTCTGTAACATGGCTGGAGATTTCAGGGCATATCAATTACTGATACTACACATGCCAAATTGTGAAAAAAAAGACATAAATGATGCATAAACATGCATCTATCTATTTAGGGATTCTGGGTTCCATGAAATGCTTTCTGTATAACTATATATTAAACCAACATGCAGTCGGGTGTGAAATCCTTAAACATGATAATATATGGTTTTAGTAATAAAAAGGCCATAGTTCTTAAACAGCCAACACAATACCAGGCAGTGATGCCCTTAGAAGTCCAGGCGAACTAGAAAGTGACCAAGGTAAAAACAACCAATGGAGTTGCTTATTCAAAAGAAAAATAGCTAACAGTCATGAACTTCACAAAATTCACTTAAATTTATTAAGAACACAACTATGACAAATAATAAAAGAGGTACTAACTGCTGAACATACACTATTATAAAGCATGTAGCTCAACTGATAAATACTATTTACAAATGGCACTGTGTTGTAGATAAACTAATACTCCAGGTAACTAGCTCAATATATGGTTAATCCATTTCTAAATATGTCAGTAAGACTTTTAAGTCTCTTTTTATAAGCATAGGAAATTAAAACAAAAAAAAAATAATTGAAGTTGTTTTAACTTTTGACAAATACATAATAACTAAAACTTCTCTCGCCCTATGACTTTCAATAATCTGTAACAGCAAATGTGGACAACATAGAAGAACTGACCTTTAACACCTAGGCAAAAGCCTAAACTACCATTCAGGCTCTAGATTATCTACTTCATCTGAAACCCCTAAAAAGCAAATAGCACTTGAACACTGGGGGCAAGTGGTCAGTCAGTGACACCAACAAATTAAAGGGACTAATGCAACACTAAAACAGCAGACTACTGGATGCAAGTTGAAGTGAAGAACAGGAAACAATGGAAAAGCAAACAAAATAGAATATCCATTTACTTTGTTACCTTATTGTCTTTAGGAAATGACGGAACATTTCTGTAATTAAAGAATCACATTCAAGATCCAACATCACAACACACGACCGAACTTTTGCAACAGTTTCGAGAACAGAAACTCTCTTTGGAAATGAACGGCTTGACACATCATCCAAATTTTCAAAGGCTTGAACAATCCTCTGAAACACCTCCTGAACATCAAACACAAATTTACAAAAGTTTTTAGAATAATACATAAAAATTGTGCAAATTTGTGAACCTACAATCAGCTACATGAAAAAACACAAAAACACAGCTACAAATAACCTTCATTAGATCATCTTCATATGGAGCCTCTGGAGCTGTTATTCTTGTGATTTCACTGACGCAAGAAGCAACAGCCACTTTGACATCAATATCTGAATGTCCCAGGAGCTCCTTAACCACCAGTGCTTTCATTGAGGGCCTAAGCGCATTTGACATTGATTGTGTTGGAGATTGGTCCACTCTCGATAACAAACTCTCAGTTTGCTGAAACATGAAAGATCAGAGTGGTGTATTGCGACATGCATAAACAATATACAATACAGTTTACATAAAGAAGCACAAAGCCACAAACAAACGGTACGGTATGTGCTGCAACTAAAATATCATGGTTTTGGAGAGTACATTTTATGATCAACTAATCATTTAGATGATATCATTATTGTGTTGAAAAATGTTCAAAGAGTAATACAGATGTGTCATTTTGCAATGGAAACAGCCTCAGATGGTCCTCCGTGAAGTTCACAAGAGGGTTCAGAGAGGGGAAAAAAACGTTTGATAAATGGCACAGGTTTGATGCCACACCAAAACTACCTATTAGCAGGTAACATCAACAAGCCATCAATGGAAGAGAAACATAAGACGGCAGAGATGGAAATTCCATCTGGAGAAAATATTATAGTTTACGAGCAACTAAATTAGCTTTCAGCATTTCAATGATTGTCCAAAAACCAATATCTTCTAATTTCTGCAGTCTAGAAACACCTTGGGCAGAAACAATTTGCCACTGAACACATGAAATAGCTTGAATTACGCATCAACGTCGATAACAAATGTTTAAACTACAACTCATGAATCAAAAGCCTAAACGCTGTTTAAGCAAGGACCACTTGCATCTATAATCACTTAAACAGCCACAACGAGACAGGGATGACACGATTCACAGACTCTATCATTTGGATCAACTCAAATCTTGGCACGATCATTGGAGAAGAGGGTCATCAAATGTTACCGTTCAGAGGAAATAGAGCCAGAGGAAACAGAAAAGAACCAGGACAGCTAGGGCTTACGTCGAGAAGCGGCAGGAGTTCATCGACGGCAGAGGGAGGCGAAGCGAGCCGGCTCCCGACCTCCCGGAGCCGATCCTCAAGGTCCTTCTCCTTACTCGCCATTGCTCCAAGCTCCAGACACAAAGCTCCTCGATCTACCGTAGCGCTCAGGCCCTCCAAACCCTAGGTCACAAAACCCTGGAAACCCGAATCAGTGGAAGAAATGGCAAAAGATTCGATAACAGAAGACGCCAGAAAGAGACCGAAATCTCGGGTTCCGCTGGCTAGGGTTTTGATTCTTGCCTTCGTTCTCTTGTCCGGGATGATCTGTTTCGCCTCGGTTCGATCGCCCTGCGTGCGGGAGGAATCGGGAGAACGAGTGATGAGTCAGGGGATGCGTCTCGTGAGGCGAGCGGAGAGAGCGAAATGGAACGCTCGAGGAGAGATGTGCGAGAGAGAGAGAGAGAGAGATAGAGAGGGGGGATGGGTTACTTGGTTTGAAGCCAAGCCGGACCCGTCGGATCCGAAGGAAGTTTATGCAATCGGATTTACCGAGGGACGTTTGACGTCCGAAACGGGTTTCCTTCGACTTCGCGGTGGGTCTGTTTTTTTTTGGTGGGGGGGCATTTTTGCCCCACTTGGTTTACCCACTTCGCGGTGGGTCCCAAAAAACTCTTTTAATAATCCATTTTAAATTATTGGGATATTAATTTAGCTCGAGAAAATAATGAAATTAATGAAACAAAAAAATTACATCGAGAAAGAAAATAAAGATTGTATTCTTGGAAAATAGAAAGAAAATTTTTTTTCGAGGGATATTGTCTGAAAATTATAATTTGGTTGAGGGAGAATTTCTATGGAAGTTAAAAAAAATATTCATCTTTTTTAGTTTCTTGCTATAAAATAATATTAGAACAAGAATAATGTTATATATTTCTATATTTTATTTGAGAAAAAATATTTTTATAAGAGTTCGCTCTACTATTTATATCCATTGTAAATCAATCTTCATAATACTAATATCGATTAATAATCTTTTTTCGACCGACGACAACGTTCATGAAACCCTAAACTAATGACATGATAACTCTGATAATCCAAAAGTTAATACTAATAGTCATTTCAAAATGAAAGAAAGGAAGTATTTTTAAAATACTTATTTTGTATTCAAATACTGAATCTTTTCAAAGAAAAATAACTTAATTATGAAATTATTACTTTACCCAAAAAAAAAAATAATGTTTTATACCTTTCTCATTTTCAAGACTACCAAGAAAAGCCTACACTTTCTTTATAAAAAAATCAAGACAAAGATTAATTAAATAAGAAAATTTATAAAATACATCCCGATCGAAGAAGACTTAAATTAACTTATAAAATTTTGATGAATTTATTATAATTAACTTTAGATTAAATATTTTTACTAATTATTTAGACTAACAAAATTGATAGATCAATTAAGCCCGTGTATTTGGATATGGTGATAGGTTTGAACATAAAATAGTAAATTAAAAGTTAATAATATGTTTGACCAATACCATGCTCTTACAAGTTAATAATATAACTAATATTTGGTACTATCATCATTTGGCAAGAATGAGTTTGTCTAGGATGGACAATATATGGACTAAATATAGTCTAATTTGGTCTTCAATCCAATTTCAGCTTTTACCCAATTTTAATCCACTTTCAACATAAGATCTATCGGGATTGTCTGTCATTCTTTTATTAGAAGTACATATTTATTCATTAAAAAAGATTAGTCCATCAAATTTATTATTAAAATATAAAAATAAATAAATTTTTTTATGATGGCATTCCATTAATAAAAGATGATTAAAAGATGTTTATACATTATAATTTTTAAGTCATTCAAAAAATTAAAATGTTGCATCCTTACTCCAAAAAAATACAAATTAGGAATTAAAGATATCATAACTTTAACACTATAAAAAGTTAAGTATATTTATAATAGGATTTTGTTAAAAATTGATATTTCTATAACCATTATCACCCTCGATTGCAGGCTAATATGTCGATCGCCTAAAGCCATGTCAATCACATGTGACTAACGAGTGGTAAGTGGTTTGGATAGCACACCAACATTATATAGTGACACATGACTGATATGTCAATCACCTGACACTAACAATGATTATGCATGATCGATAACATATGTTTCGAACATAGATTAAGAGCATTTAGAATTTAATAGATACAACACCGTTATAACTCGATAATGACACATATTCGCCTTGCAACCGTTGATGATCCCGAAAATAATAATCCTCAAAGTTAGTTATAAAAGAGACTCTCTCGGTATATGTTACACATACATTCTAATTTTTTATTCCACTTATAACTAATTATAGTAATTCAAATTTAAAACTGACTTGTTTTAGGAATATCCTTGATCTAGTTTTGTATATTTGATTCTTGACGATGATTTAGATCGAGATTGATATGGGGAAGTCCTTAGTTGGATTTAAAATATCCTCGGGAAATTAATTTTTTTAATATTTCTTTATTTCTCAGTCTTATGTCATGTCAATTCAAGTTTCAATTTTTTATACAAAATTTCTATCTTCATCTCTTTATATATATATATATATATATATATATATATATATATATATATATATATATATATATATATATATATTATAAATTGAAATCTACTTAAGGCTTTCAAAGGCTAAGCTATCACAAGACATTGATTATCAACGTAAAAGCTTCGTTATTTTATACGATAATACAATGAGCTTAGTAGATTTCTTAGACTGATTTTTTAATTTATTTTAATAATACACAATAATAATAATAATAATAACAATAAATAATAATAATGATAATAATAATAATAATAATAATAATAATACTAAAAATAAATATAATAATAATAAAAATAATTTTTGATGATTTCAATCGCTGTTTATGAAATATTCTTTATCGCTTGTGAACAATATGGGTAAACTGACGGGTCTGATTGACGAGTTACACAAAGAAACAAAAAAAAGAACCCACGGAAAATAAAACCAATGAGCATGAGAGATTGCAGTGGACTCCACTTGTGGATCCCACTGAGCATGGACCGTGTAGGCAGGTAATCCATTGGGTATCTTTTCAGAGTAGAAAAATAAAACTAGTTTACTTGAGAGCGAGCGAGCGAGCGGACCCCATTCGTTTAACGGGTCTCGGACCAGACGAAAAACAAAAAGAAAAAGAAAAAGAAAAAGAAAGTGCTATATAAAGTGCAAGGATATGCGATTGGGTCGGTTAGGTCACGATGGCTCTCCGCGTCCTCTGTGCCCGTCCTTCCTCCCTGACCGACCACCGCTTCTTGTGGACGATCGATCGTCTTCTAAATAAGAATATTAGGGTTCGTAAGCAGGCAGCCGCCGCTGCTTAGGGGAGGAGGATTTGATTTCTTCTTTTCCCGATCAATGGGGTTACTCTTTATGTTTCCTATGCATGGCACCCTCCATCGGGATGGCGTGGTAGCTCGGATGGCCTGCTTCTCTGCAGGCAACCGCTGCCGCCATTCTCTTTCGGAGAGGCGCAAGTAAGGAGGACATCGACAAATTAAAGAATGATTTGATAGGGACCCTTTGCGTGGAATTTGTGATCTTCGTTTGGGGCGGATCGGAGCCTCTTCCTCTGGTATCTCTCTTCCAAGAAACGAATCTGTTCGTTCATGCTTGTGCGTTGTTTCCTGAAATTTCTAAGCAGGATGATTGATTGCCTTAGTTCGGAAAAGAAGTTTCGTATGTAGCTGTCGGTGATTGAGATTTGATTTGCCCTTTTTTTTTCCGCCTTTACGTGCGAGCGAAAAAAATTTTCTTGGATCTGAAAATTCCATCGACTACGCTTTTCGGCTTGATCCTCACCCTTCGTCGACGAACTTTCCGGAGGAACCTTTAGGTTTTCGGGGCATTCGATTCTCACCAATATTTTTTGGGTGGCTCGTTTATGTCAATTGCCTATTAATATTTCAAACTTATACTTCTGAGACCAATTCTCTCAAATCTTTCTCTTTTTTTGGTGTAAACGGAAAGTGGTGAAGACATGATATGATTCCAGGACCTTTCAATATAAACAGATAAAGTCTTTACATTCTAAGTTGGCCAACACTTTTGTATACATTAAAAGAATTGCGGTGATCAACTCACCTCACGTCATTACCTTCCTGTGAAGGGGGTCGAATACAGAATTTCCATTCTCAGATTTCAAAGCCTGTAAGTTTCAGGTTTTGAAATCCCACGTGGCAATCTCCAGATTTCACCACTGTGCCCTTCAAATGGTGGCATGGTATCTTGTATATTATGCTTCTCCGCATGCAAGTGCTGCCACCATTCCTCAAAGAGAGACATGTTTAGAGGAGGTAAAAAAAGGAAGGAATTCTGGTCTCTCCTTGTTATAGTGCTGGTGGATCTGAGATTCTCCTTATGGTATCTCTTGCTATTAATAGAGACCAATCCTTCTGTTCATGTTTGTATATTTTTTTCTCAAGTTTATAAGTAGTGAAATAATTTAGATGTGTCATTTTTCATCTTCTTCTCATTTTCTTAATCTGTGGTGAATTGAGATTCTGATTGGTCATTTTTTGTTTTTTTTAATTGTTTGTATTCCAGGATTTTTTGAGGTTCAGAATTTCACAAAAAGGGAATCACTTTTTTGTCCTTTCAGAAAGATTGATAGGTTTTTTTCTTGTTTGTCAACTGCCCATTACTTTTTAACTTACCTTTGTATCTGAGCAGTTGACAAGTCAGTTGACTAATATAAGTTTAATGGTATCTAGGAGCAGTTGTCCGAAAGGTCAGGTGCTCATCAACACAATTTTCTTATAAAAGGTTTTGCTTGTATCCTTGCAAGATAACTGCTTTTTTGTATCAATTGCCATATCTCTTCTAGTGAAGTGAGGCATACATTCATGCAATTTCCCCACAAAGGGGTTGTTTTTTCATTTCATAAGGGTTTATTCAGGCTTTATGTAAATTGCCTTTCTTATTTCGAACTAGCATGCTCTCTATTTTCTACAAACTCAATTCTCCCACCAATTATCAGATACTACCGTCCATCTATTTTTACTCTTATGCATGCGTGCGAAAAAGGTGTGACGGTCAATTGTGAGGTTTTTATGTGTGCATTGCTTTAGTCACCCATGAATGAAATTCCAAAAAATCACCCTAGAAAGCAGAATAAGGCAAAAATCAATGACATTGGCACCATTCATGATCGGTAAACCATTGATGATATTGGCGGTTAAACCATCTATGTTTCTTTTGAGCTTGTCTTGTGGGTGTAGAAGGCATTCTCATTATAAATATCTGTCAAGTTGGAAGGAAGGAGCCTTCATCTTATTGTCTCTTTCATGGCATTTTTTTTTACAATTATGGCATGTAGCTAGGTGGCCTGGTTTTTCCCAGGAAACTGTTGCTGCTATTCTTTATCTTCTAAGTTGAGGCACAGTAAGTAGATTCCAAAAGGATGGATGTGACTTTTCTATCCCTGATTGATTGAAGGCAGATCTGAGCCCTTATATGATATCTTTCTTTATTTAAGATGATTCATGTTTAGATAAAATTTCCAGTTTGTAGAGCTAAATTGTTTACAATTTAATAAATTCCATCTTGCTTTTCTGTATGGTGATTGCATTTTGATTTTCTATATTCTGTTCTTTTATTGCATGTATTTTAGATTTTTTTTGTATTATAGCTGAATTTTAATGTTGCTATATGTTTATTTACCTGTTCATGGCTTTTGGTTTCCTTCTTTATGTTTGAAAATCTGTACAATTGGTTTGCCAAAATAATAAGTTCGAGCAGTGAAGTTTGCATTTAGTGAGTAGTTCACTAAAACTATGACAAATTTATGAGGATTGTTTGTGTGCATAAAAGAATGAATGTGAGCATGGCCAATGAGACCAGCGATGGATGGAATAATGTATTACATCCCAATGATTTCTCCAGAAACATCCTCTTATGCATCTCTTTGACAAACCTAATGTTTGCGTCCGGCTGAAAATTGCCATAGGAAATTGCTTTAGACATCAATACAAGAAAACTCCAAAAGGAAATCCTGGTCAGTTTTAAAAAAAATAAAGGGGAACTCTGCTGTTATGTTATGTATGAGATTGATGTGATTGACAATTACGACCATATGTATTTTCTTCCCTGGACTTCTTTTGTGGGTGAAAAAAGCAATTGTCATTGCAATCTTTTATGCTAACCAGGTGCCACTTTTGTGTTCCTTTGTGGGTGACTGAATCACTCCTTGAAAGTGGTCAGTTATCCTTTTGGGTTTATGTGCTCTGATTTAGTTTATTATCAGAATCTTTCAAGTTTCCCATTTAACATTGAATGTCCATCTGCCATACAAAGTGAATGGACCCTTCCAGGTGTCCTCTTCTATACGGAGGCTATGATGATTTATCTGAATGTGAGGCCATATTTGTATATCAGATTTTGTAAGAAACAACCACTATTGGCTCCTCTTTTTGGTTAATCTTTAAGATGGCATGATAGCTCAGAGGGCCTGCTACTTAGGCAAGGGCTGCAGCTTTTCTTAAGAGAGACAGGGAGGGGACAAAGTAAGGAAGGTTTCTCTATATCTGATTGATTGAAGAAAATCTGAGCCTCTCTTAGTGCTGTCTCTGCAATCCCTTGGTATTGAGGCTGGTAAGGCAGAAGTGGCAGGGAAGATACCGCTCATTTATCTCATTAGTTTAAGTATGAGGCTGTCGAGGAAGCCGATGATTCTTTTTATCTTGTGTATTTAGAGGCTGTGATGATTGGCCCTCACAGTGGAATGTGGGGGTTCATTAATATCATATAGATGGAAGAAACAATCCTGCCTCTGAATGGCTTCTCTGTTGCATTTGTTTATATGAAACAAAGGCATGGCAGCTTGGACGGCCTGCTTCTCTGCAGGCAACCGCAACCGCCTTTTGTTAATAGAGGCATGGTGAGGACATTCTAGGAGGAGGATGTATATGTCTCTCCACTGATGTGTTGAAGTCGGATCTGAGCCTCCCTTTGGTAGCTCTCCTTATTTTAGCATGGTTGTTTTTTTTTTTTTTTTTTATGAAATTACTAGTTCTCATCAGCAATATTATCCACTGCATGATTAATTTCACCTTTCTTCTTTATTTGGTGATCACTGTTTGATTTTACTAAATTTTGCTTCTCACAGTTTTTGTACTTTGGTTAGATTTTAGATGTTTTCACCTTTTTTGTTTCAAAATTGAACAATCACTTTTACTAAATTACAGCTTCTTGTTGTGTCATAATTAGTCTCTAAATAATGCTCGTTTGGGCACTCCAATTGCCATTCTTTTGTGAAATTGTGATTTTGTAAATTTCCCTTCCACATAAATGTTTCTTGTTCTGATGTTCCATTAATTGTGCAAATAAATGTGATTAAGCTTAATCCTATTAGCATATCTCTGTGTTTTTAGAAAAAAAAAATCAATATTACTATTCAGACCGTTTGTTGTATTAGTAAGTGGTTTCATATGGCTGCTGCACAAGTTGTATTTGAACTGGACCATACAAATGAGTGGGATTATAGGATTGCTCATCCGTGTGGGGTTATAGGATTATAGGATTGTTGTATTAGTAAGTGGTTTCATATGGCTGCTGCACAAGTTGTATTTGAACTGGCTCATACAAATGAGTGGGATTATAGGATTGCTCATACAAATGAGTGGGACCATACAAATGAGTGAAAGAATTTGTGTGCTCTGATACCAGAGTGAAAACAGCGGAACTTTCAAAAGATTGCAAGAAATAATAAGCACAAAAAACTAGAGAAAGCTTAAATTGCTTACAAAAGTTTGGGCACAAAGGTGAGTACAAGGATAGTTTCTTGCTCAAGTAAGGCTCTGGTGTTTTTCGACCGATGTCTTGCAAGAGCTCAGTTCTAGCGAATATATAGAAGAAGAGGATAGAACCGGGTACTCATTGGGCCCCATCGCATTCTTATCCTTTCCTCTATTATTGCTAGACTTCTTGCAGAAGGAAGGAATATTCCTTCATGCCATTATTACTAGCACTATGAGCGGCTCCCCGAGGCTCAGCTTATTTTCTTAGTGACTAAGGAGGCTAAAAAGTCTATGCTTGGTCCACTAGGTCTGTCTTTTTCTGGCGGTTAAGAAAAGCTTTTGCGCTGGCTGTCTTCAGAGGCTGAAGCTTGTTGTCCTCTGCGCTACGTCCTTTACTAGGGATAAGGCATCTTCCAGCTGTTGCTGCTGTTGGATGATGACCGGTAACCAATCCCTGTACCAATTGTCCCTTCCTCCACTTCTTTTCTTATATTCTTTTGTTTTGATTGAGTGGATGTTGATGAATTGCTGGAGCGCACTGACCGCTTGTCTGGAGGCTTCTTTCTGGAT